CAATCTATATAGGTTGATTTATTATGACGAATCTTTTATCGAGTATCGATGAATTGTATGTATATAATATATTTGAGAATGATAAAAATTGAAATTAATTAATTTCTTTTTACGCAAAAAGCCATTATAGTATGAGCTTTGGAAATGCAGCATAGGAATCCGTATGATGTACAATTGATATATGATAAAGCATATAATAGGATTTAGTCGGTAAAATAATATATCTAGTTAATCACGCTTTTATGTATATATATATCTTCTATATGAACTTTTTATTAATAGCATATAACAGATATTAAATATTAGAATAATTATAATTTTTATAAAATAATAATTATTAATAAAATTATTTCTTCTTTTTGAATAATTTATTATTATTAAGATAAAATGACATTTTTTGATAATCTGGATTTAAACAAATTTAATAGCTTTCATTTCCGCGTTTTTTATTCCGAATTTAATGAATTTTTTTCCGCTTTATATTGCTGTGTATACATATAATAAAAAATTCGAGATAAAACAATGTCAGACATTGCACTCAATCACTTATTCACATACATACAATAATACACGAAAGCATATTTCCGTAACAATAGTACTTGCATTCTAATAGCGATTTGTAGAGATGCTCCCTATAATAGATGAAAACAGACAACACTATAAATAGCTATTGTTTATTAATTACAAAATACCGGAATAATCGCTAGATTTGACCATCATCGTACTCCAGAGAGATTATTAATACGAAATTCGTATGGTTTATTAGAAATTTATGATTGCGACGCGCAGTCATAATTTGTCGGCTATTTCGTAATTATCACCGCAAAGCAGTTATAATTTCCCGGAGACTCCTATCGTGAAATATTGGCAAATAAAATTGAAAGCTATTTAATCCTTTTCGATGGTGAATGAATTTCCCATATATATTTATGTAGTGCTCCCCTGAGATTGAAAGAGAAGATTTAATACACAAGCAAGCAAAAGTTATAAAAAGGAAAATACGATATTCTTTATCGAGATCGAATTTACTTTCATGATCAATTTTCGGAGAGAAAAGTGGCTGTGTGAAACGGAATGACAGCATAATAATTTCAGCAATATCGAATATATCGCATTTGCATCAGCGTGATGAATAAGCGGGACTAACATTTACATATTTTCCTAGGATAAAAATCTCTTTGCGTTTTAAGGATGATGATCGTTAAAGAAAATCAAATTCTTTCAGTAGCGACTTTTCCCAAGCTTTCGCAAGACCGTAGTAATTATGGGACACTTCATAAACTTCTTCATGTAGATGTTTCTTTATGAAATGTATCCTTAAGGAGTGGATCGTCCTCCCCTTCTCTCTTTCCTGCTTTCGAAGAAAGTATATCCTTGAAAGCACGACCATCTATTAATTATCAGACTGCAATGACACAGTCCTTAGCTGTGCGCTAACGCGATTACAACTTTCTGTATAATCAGAGTTTCTCGAGAAAAGGACACAGAGATATACACATAACTCGGACCAGTTTGTCCCGGACTTTACCCGGACGGGATATCTTCAAGGCGCGTGGAGCTTTTTTACAGACGAGTCTCTTTTTTTTGTTTTTTTTTTTTGCGCGCTCGTGGATTTTTGGGACGAGCCAATTTGGCTTTGTTTCATTTTTCATTTAGTCTTCCTCCTTCCTCGCTTATCCCTTCGCCGCGAACTCATTTTTCACTTAACCCGTCGCCCGATCTATACCCGATCCACGAGCCAAGGCAAGGCGATTTTCACCAGCAAACGCGGGTTCTCCTTTTTTTTTTTATATAGATCACGTACGTTAACCTGTCGAACGCCCTTAAATAATAGTGGAGTTAATTTCAATCTCGCAAGAAACGATGGTGAACGGGCGGTGTGTATAATATATACGGACTTCTCTCTTCTCCTCGTCAAAAAATTATAGAATTTTTGGTTATACCGATCTCTTTCCCTCAACAGTCGCAACTCACGATCTTCACATTTTACGTGTTCGATAATCGCGTTCACCGATTTTTTTTTTTTTTTTTTTTTTTTTTTAATATGTTGCACGAAAAGTGTATATATACAGGGTGTCCGGTAACTAACGGACCAATGATTAAGGGCGGATTCTCTGGCCAATTTGGAGACGATTTTTCCTTAGCAAAAATGTTGAGAAGTCAATAATTTTCGAGTTATAAGCGATTGAAAAAAATGGGTTTTTTGAAAACTAAACGTTTTGGAGTTAAAAGTCTAACATAATTACAGTCTTCAGTTAATTTCAGGTAGAGTTTACTATAATAAAATTTTAATTTGAGGCTTAGTTATAAAGATACATAATGACAATTATTGGAAAGCTGTAAAAAATGATGACCTTTTTCGACATTTTTGCTGAGGAAAAATCGTTCCCAAATTGACCAAAGAATCCATTTGTAATCGTTGGTCCGTTAGTTACCGGACACCCTGTATTAAACAAAATTTTTTTCATAGAATCATAAATGTACAATAATAATTAAATATATATAATATGTATAACCTACCGAATATTATCACACCGTTTCCAAATGCTGAGACATTATCTCGTTCGAATGAGATAGCGACTTTCCATCCGCGTCGAAGATAGGTATAAGGCTTGTCTCTTGTAAAGTAGTCATAAATTCAATCGGATGTGCGTGAAACGCTCGAAGGAAATGTAACGCCGCTGCCTTCGCGTCCTCGAATGAGATGCCTTTGATACCTTTGCCCTACCGTGACGGTAATCATGGAAACGCATCAAATCTCGCTATCCAATAGTGGGAGATACCGGAGAACAATGCTCTCAGCATCGCAGCGATAAAGGTCGATTCAATTATCGCGCTGGAGACCTTTGCTCGTTGCACTCCGCATCTACTTTTGTCCTTCGGGATCCAGTTTATTTCTTAGATTGGTCATGGACTATTGTCCTGATCGAATAAGCGGAAAATGTGTGCAACTACGTGATGTCACTATTGATTAAATTAAATTAGTTGAGTTCTAGAATTGGCCGATAAATTGAGAATGCGCAATAGTAATAATTTTGCATTATTTAAATATCATATCTAAAATCAATGTTTCTAATCAATTTAATATTACGACGTTAATTTGTTATGTGACATTTACATAAAATGTTTTTTATGCTATAAATATATAGCAATAACTTGTCTTAATGATAACATATATTTTGATAGAATCAAGTTGTTTCTTAATGAACATGAAATGTTTAACACTCAAAAATGGAACAATTTCTGCTCCATTAAAATTCGACAATGCATATAAATAACATAACCCAAATTCGCCAAATTTAGCAGACATATTAATAGAAAGTCAACATTTTGAATTCAAGTATGCGCTGGTATTTAATATTCAAAATTGAAATTATGACAAATGATGATTTATCATCAAACAATGACTAAGTAAAAATTAAGTTCAAATTCATCAATTAGTAAATCTAGTTTAATAAGTACTAAAAGATAGTGCTATTTCTGTAAATGTATATAAAAGGGTGATTATCCGATAAATAAAAATCTGTAAGCTATAAATAAATAAATTACTCTACGTAAACAAACTGCTGCGAAAAGATAAAGTTAAATCATTCCTCGTAGACATCGAGAAGCAAAACGGCGCATTGAAGTAATTCCTCAATTGTCACAGGCCGGGGAGCTTTCCAAACTTTTCGTCGTTGCTGACTCTTTAACTGGGAAAGTTTTCTTTTGTCCCTCTTAATCTTTAAGCAATAAATTTCCAAACTTCTCTCTTAATAAATTTCGACTAAATTATTATGCAAATAAACATACGTTTCTCCGCAATATATTTTCGAGTGATGGCATGAAAACAGGTTAAGAGATTATAAATTTTGTTATTTAATTCTTTTAAATCTTTCGTTATCAGAATATAAATATATTTCTTCATTGTTGCGTCATATCGCGGCGTCATTACTCATTTCATCCTTTATTCACCTTTCAACAAACTGTGCGAAAGCACAGCGATATCAATCGAACAAAAATTAAAAAGTTCCTCAGGAAGTTAATATCAACGCCGCGTCTTTTGCCTCCGAATATAAAAGCCGCGCTCATCGATCAACAAAAACGACGTACAAACTCTTTTTCGGAGAACCTCGAAAGATCTCGATAACAGCGTCACACGAACGGCCAAGGGCAAAGTCGATAATGCATTCTGATCCAAAAGCCACGGCATGAAATGCTAACGATACCGCAATAAAATGGGACTATCAATACTCTCTTTTCGATACAAAGTAGGGATATGGATATTTCGATCGTGATATTGAAATCGATTGAAGGATCGACTTCGGCTAGTACCTCAATATCTGTCTAATTCTAGGTCACGAGAGCACAATGTCGTTAGTAAATTAAATTCTTTAGTAAGCTTCAATGTTTTCTCTTTTACAAGTTAATTTTCTCATCAATAATAATAATAATAATAATAAATTTATTGCAAAAATTAAAATAAATCCCTAAAACAAAAATAGACAAATTTGTTTGACAAGCACGCTTTTTTCGTGCGCAAAATTAACTTGCAATTTAGATCGTCTGTGTGTCTGGGAATAAATAAGAAAGAATTACATTATAACGTTGTTTTCCTGATTGTTCACTACGCGCATCGACGTTCTCGCGTGTACCATATATATAAGCTCGTCTCCGAACGATGCGCGCAAGTTTCTGTCTGTCATGCGGAAATGCAGATTGCCTTCTTCGTCCTGGCTTGCGGGCCGGTGCAAATTACCAGAGCTTTTTATCCTTTGAAGCGGCGCACACCCGCGCGCAACGCGACGCCTTTGCGATTAAATCAGAGAGAGAGGCTCGGCCGTGCCTCCTATTCCTACAGAGCCTCACCCTCTCGCTTTTCCCAAAGTCGCTTTTCCCGCGGCTCCGTCCGTATCGCGCTCGCGCTCCGCGGCGAGCTTGCGCGCCTCGTCCTGCAACCCGGAGGTCTCCTCCGCGGAGGAGGACCATCAGGACTCCGATCAGTTTACCGGCGTCCCTCGGTCCGCGCGGTCGCGTTCGGTACTCGAGTCCGGTTCGCCGAATCACGTGCATCCCCGACGAAGGGAACAAGGCGAGTGTGTCACTCGAGCAACGTCACCATTCTTTCGTCCACGAGATGTGTGAAAGTCCTCCAGGATTACCGCTGCAG